AGGACTCAGCTTTTGGAAATAAGCTTTCCACTAAACTAACCTTTGCTGGTAGCCTGTGTGGATGAGCTTATTTGTACCGGTCTTGGCGTACTTCGGGAACGAGGAATACCAGATCGCAACTCGGTCCTGGTGGGTTTGTGTGACTTGGCTGCGGTCTAAAATAGGGTGACGATGGACGGCAGCACAGTGAACAAAAATAATGTAAACATAAATTAAACAACTCCCTGTAAGTTGGTGTTTATGCAGAAATTCGAAAATTCTTTTCACGTTATTATGTGAACAGTTACTTCCAGGACGGAAACAACATGCTTGATGCATGCGATAGCCAATGAAACGGAATATCAGAAACAAACTCAAATTTTGGAAGAAAAGATTTTGAAAGAACATATATATGGGAGGAAAAAACATAGAATGCCTCAATTCGATGTAATCGCTGATAACTCATGGGTATAATAGTGCAATAGGTTGAGAGAAAAGTGTGATTCACCGAATCGGAAAACCTCCAGTCATTTTCAAGCGCCTATCAACTGCGTGAGAACATTAAACAGCTCCATGGGTGTATCAGATTGTGACTATCCACATGTGTCGATACTAGTGTTATGAGATAGTACTCACATTCGTGAGCAGTAGGTGAAAGCTTACAGTTGGCGGTTTATTTCAACGGTCAAAAATGAAAAAGACCTCCTAGAGCGAATTGCTGTGTTCGAAATTATAACTACGGTTGGCTGCATCCACTATCCTGTAAGCTACCGAGAATTACGATTTGGCATGTTCCAAATGATGTATCTTGTTATGTGCATATATGCAATAAATAACCGTCCTCAGGCCACCACCAGTTTTCTGGAATTATAACAGAGCAGTACAGATTTCAGTCTAGCGAAGACTCGGATTCCGGGCACCGTACACCGCTCGCGAATCCAAGCCCTCCATGGTAACTCAGGTTTTGGATGTATTTTCGTGTAATGAGTCATTGATTTTCTGCATACATGGTGGCAACCCTGAAAACTTCTCTGTTGTTGGAAGACGCACACCATTTCTGTGTTGATGCCGTGTTGGCGGAAATTTTGAATGAAAATCCAATGTTTCTGGCTTGTTTCCGCCAAATCCCCAGTGATCAAAGACATTCAGCATGCGGTTTCCTCGACTCACCGTAACCGAGTTTTGCAGTCATGTACGAGAACGGAGCAAATCACGGTTCTTTCAGCATGCAACCTGGTTTTTAAGACTTGTTTCCAAACCGTTTTACAGTGATCTTAGCATTTACCAAGGGTTTATTCAAGTACTGCTGATACAAATGTGAATTTCGTCCTAGACCTGTCCGGTTGGTGGTTTCGTTTGGATCCAGGCTATTTCAGAACTATCCGCGTTTCTGCTACTTCCTCCTAATCCGGAATAGGACATAGATTGCCTGGGTAGTTATAAATACTAATAATAATAAATAAATGAGAATAACAAATAAGAAGAAGAAGAAACCAATCAGATTCAGCGTTCTGGAACTCATCGTCATCATCGTGCAACGAAAAACAGTAAGGCGAA